TTTATTTTTTGACCCAACATACGATTTGCATGATGGTGTGATTTGATTACAACTACCAGGATACTAGTATTACTTCACTTTTTCTGTTTCTTATGTTCATCGTTATTAAAACCACACTGGGGCTTCAAAATTTAAATAATAAAGAAAAACCGAGTCAGCTAAATGACCTTGCTCTCCATGAGTTCTCGTAGCTCAGTGGATAAAGCACCCGCCCGGTGTTCGGGAGGTCATGGGTTCGATTCCTATCGGGCACTCAGATTTTTTCTTTGTCCCACGCTCGTGTCATGTTGATCAGCTCACTTTTCACAAAAAACGAGTAGTAGTCAAATGACGCTATCGTGCAAATCTGCTATCAACCAAACATCTCTTGTCCATTCTTGCCCAACTTCATCCCCTCGCGCACAGGCGAACAACAAAAGTTCAAGTAAAGGAAAAGTCATTGTTGACAACTATCAAGATTATTTTACATGTACGCTCAAGTTTCATTTGTTTGTTTGTTTGTTCATTCTTCTTTCTACAAAGGATGAAGACGAAGAAGATACAGAAATCAGGATTATCAAAAGAGTAGAAGACTACTACCCTGGAAAAAAATTCACGGCAAGGTACAATCATGAAAGAGTTTCGGTGTTTATTGAATATGAAGTGCTGCAATAACACGCAAACTGCGGTGATAAACATGGCAATAAAACGCATGTTAAAAAACAAAGTTCATTTACTTGACGTTTCGATTCGTATGTTTCCACATACATCTTCAGAAGTGACCGTTAGGAATAAAAGTAACAACTAAAGCTACGATGGCCAAAGAAAAAGAGTATTTATGAAGTGCTCCAAATCATAGTACAGTACACCATAGTTAATAGAGGGGAATGGTTATGACACCCAACAAAGTTCTTTGTTGTATGTTTTTGTTCTCTTTTTTGGCCTCGTCTGTGCACAAAACAGTGACAAAAATACAATAGTTGTTTACTTCTGAGGAATTAACCAATAGAAACGTTTTTGTTACGTAATTCATGCATGGTGTACGAGTGCAAAACAAAAGAAGTGCACGGTCGTGGACCTTTCAACATAACTCTTGGCGTCTTTGTTTGCTCCTTTGATGTTTGGCGGGTTTCATAACCATTCCACTCTATTACTATGAGTGCACTAAATGCTTCTGACTGGCCCTGCCCTTGATCAACGAATACTTCACACTGCTCCCTCTCTAGAGTACAACATGCAGGAGGTGTACAGAGGACAGAAACTGGCCAACGATCTTGTGGACATTACAGCCACGGTAAGAAATGATACTCTGCTTTACTTAATTAAGGAAAAAAAATAGAGAGGAAGCATTTTCTATGTTTTTATCAAGTAATAGAAATACGAGTGGAGTACAGGAAAAGAAAATGCTTTCGAAGACGAGCTTCTGGCGGCTGTTCCTTCAGCATTTCTACGAGTTTTCTTGCGAGTTTTCTATGAATTTTCAACCAAGTATTTTATCGAGGTTTATTCCGAGTTCTCTACCGAGATTCCTGAACATTTTGAAGAGCGGTAATTGGCTACAAGCCGGTCACTACGAGCTCATATATAGTACAAGTGTAAAGTGCACAGTCATACAAAAGACTGGGATATTTTTTTGTGTCCGGCAGATACCAGATGTGCCAGAGGAGCTGATCTGATACACCGAGAATCAAGAAGTACCACAAGACCTTCAAACGTTTAGCAAAACACCAGTCTAACACTTGATTTCACAGAAGAGATTAACCAGTTTTGGTTATTTGCTGATTTCCAATTAGTTGGAACTGAATCTTTGCCATATGCTAGTTGTATTTGCGAGACCGTTTTTCACATTGTGTTTCCGACGCCAAAAAGGTCATTAAATAACATCAAACATCAGGCAATGGTGCTGTGATATTTTATTTATTTACAGTAAGCAACAAAAAGCCATTTTCCTTGCATTTGGTCAAATCTTCTTTCACTCAGTTGTGTTGAAAGTAGGTGTACCTCCAATCTCGAACTCGCTGCTATCTGAAATAATTTTTCATTTCCCTTGAGAGTTCAACACAGATGCTCTATCAAACATCATTCTTAAGGGAGCTCAGTAACGGTTTGCACATATTAAAAAATGTAAAGCCTCAAATTTTCAAATTCGTCGTTTGTAATCCGTGTCAATCTTCTCCATCCTTAGCCATCCTTGTTCCTTTATGGTTTATCATTATGTTTTTGGTGTTTTTCTATCTTATTAAACTGTTATTTTCAGGTTTCCTACCATTTAAAGGTAATTTTGTATGTGGCCAAAATAACTCAAAATACCGTGACTGAGCTCCTTTAAAATGAAATATTCCATTTATAACTATGGGTTTCCACCGTGAAAGGACTCCTTTCTGATATTTCGTAAATTATACTTCAAGTGTCATTTCAACATCGCTTGAGCGGATAACATACAGCGCATTACTATCTTTGTCTTTTCACACCTCTCCCTTGCGATTTGGATTTGTTTCTCCGGTTAAACTTGGCTTCTCTACGAGGTCCTATCTTTCCACCTCTCCCCCGACCCCAGTCTCCCCTCTTTTTATTCCAGTTTCTTCCCGCCTTTTTCTCTTCCCATTTCAGTTGCTTGTCGCTGGCGCCCTCTCTCTTGACGTCATAGCTTCCACCACGTGACGCCTTGGAATTTTCCAGCAGATGAGCGAACTGGTAATTTCAAAACAAGCAAGATTAAAAGAAAGCAATTTAAAAGACAACTAAATCTATCAAGTTTTTGTTT